GATACTTTTGAAAATGAGTATCGTATCCGGATACAACATTTTAGTATATTAGTCATACGGGACAGAGGGAAATCCCACCTGATGATCTGGGTGGGGAAACGGAGCCCCGCCCCCTTCGGCTGCGTGGAGACGGCGAGCGTTTGATCTTTGCTGCAGGGCTGATGGCAGCGTCCGGGCGCTGGGCTGGTTTTCGGGGTGGAGAGGTTGATATCCGTTTCACAGCTTTTTTAGGCGAGCGTGAGCCAGAGGAGCTGCTGCCGGAGGACGAGGCGGAGCGAGAACGCCTCCTACAGAGCGAAAACATACGTTTAAAAAACGTTCTTATATAAGCCGCATAGAGCAGAAGCTCCAGTAGAGGCTGGGGCTAAGTTAGCATCCACCAGATGAAGCTACGCTAACGAGAAAACATCAACTAAACAGTCAGACTTTATCAACAGAACACAAACCAGCGTTCTGACGACTCAGTTTGCTCCCAAAATGAATAAACAGCTGTATTATTTTGTTCCCGCGCTAATGTCAGTGATGTGGTGTATTCGCGACAGTTTATCTTTTAACAACAATGTTTAATAGGTACAGTAATCCCTCGTTTATCGCGGGGGTTACGTTCCGAAAATGACCCGCGATAAGTGAAATCCGCGAAATAGAAAACTTTTTTTTTTTTTTTACAATTAGCAACTATTACATTTATACAAATACAGTGACTCACGTGTAGTGTCGGTCCAGGCCGTTTCGTCGACATTATGGGTTTAGGAGATGTTCGAAATTACAAGATAATTTGGCCAATTTAATGTAAATTTGCTAAGCTGTTTTATGTACGTACACATAACTGCACGAGACGACAAAATGATAGCACAATTCGTAGCATGTTTTGATACAAGAAGCGGGAGTGAGTTTTTAGCGAATCAGAATGCAGAGCACAATGCACCAAAAAAATAAAATAAAATGCATTATGAAAATCCGCGAAATAGCGAATCCGCGATAAGGGAACCGCGAAGTGGCGAGGGATCACTGTAGTACAGAATTCTTATCATATAGTGGAGGAGAAATTTTCCTCGACTCAGTAAACACGTGAAAGAAAAAGTCTGATATGTTACAGTAAATCTAACGTTAGGCAATCACAATATATATCAGCTAGCATAAAGCTGTTGAGCTTTTCTTATTAAAAAAACAAAACCGCCAGTATATATTTATTTGAACTCCATGTTGTCGTAGTTAGGATCAGATTCAACGTTTACCTTTAATGTCCACATTTTTTTTTTTACTTCTCTCACTGCGTCCACTTTTAAAATGGTAACTAATAGATATGTACATTCTGCAGTACTGCGGAGTGACCAGAAGAGGGCGCCTCTTCCCCAAACACTACTTCTTCTATCTTTACTTCTTTTTTCGGGAGAAAATGGAGTCGGCAACTGCTTCCCATAGTTGCAAGACCTGTTGCGACTCAATCCTGATCCATATATAAGGCTTACCGTCGGTTTTTAAGAAAATTGAAGGCTTTTAGGTGCCTTATAGTGCGGAAAATACAGTATTTATTTTTTTAAAGGCGGTTCCTGAGAGGGAACCCGTGAGTTCCCACAGTGAGAAACCTTCGGTCTGCAGACAGCACATTTCAGCTCGACTCAGCTGGCTTTGAATAGGGTGAGTCGGAGCTAAAACAGCCTGATGAAATGTAATGAAAACGCCTACAGAAATGAGCCAAGTGGGTAAGAGTGGTTAAGAGTGTAGCCTAGTGTTTGCTCATGGTGGGAATTGTTGGGTTTCTGTAATTAACTTCAGAGTAGGTCTGACCTGCTCTGTTTGGAAAGCTGTGAGACAACTGTTGTTGTGATGTGGCGCTATATAAATGAAATTGAATTGAATTTAATTAATTCTAATTTTGTAATGTCATTGTCTGAACGTGTGTTTGGACTGATTTTGTATTTTGTGATTTTGTGTTGTTTGGTCTTCCTGCCTAAGGGACGACAGATGTAAACTAGCAACTATGCTAGAATCTGGCTCATTTACAATCTGTATGAGATTGTTCATTAATGTGCACTGTCCTGATTAAATAAATAAATAAATAAATAAAAAAGAGTGGAACAGGGGGGTTTGAGATGTGACCTGCGGACGGGGGAGCGCCTGGTTCTGTGTCTGGAGGCGACGGGGCCTCGTCGGGGGGGACTCCTCCTGCGGGGGGACATTCTTCTCCTGGGACTCTGCCTTCGGCGAGGGGAGTAGGACCTGGAGAGAAGCAGAATCAGAACATTTTAGAATGAAACCTATTTGCTTTTTTAACTAAGAATCAGCCTAACAATAGGGATGTCCTGATCCAGCTTTTTTCCCTTCCGATCCGGGCCTATCAGAGCCTGTATTGTACCTGTAATTAATCTGTATTTTTTTTGCATTGTGCTTTCTGTTTGCCACTTTTTTTGCCCTGTAAGATGATGGTAACTTTAATTTCCTGAGGGAGTCTTCCCAAGGGATCAATAAAGTACAAGTCTAAGACTAAAGTTTAAATCAATTTATCCTACTTACTTAGTTGTCAGACTCATGTTGAACAGGGATTTACTCTGATAACAACTTAATGGTTAGGACACAGACCTGTGGTTACAGATGCTAATGCTAATGCTCGTGTGGGATCGGACTTAAATAAAAAACTCGATCTGGAGTCTGGATCTGTGTTTTCTCCTGCCGGCCAATCCGATCCAGATATCGGATCGGGACAATCCTGATTTAAGGATTAATGTATCTTTCACACTTTACCTCAAAACTGACTGGTGGACATTTTATTTTAATATATTTTTTGCTTTTCCATGTAAGTCCATTTTCCCTAGTTTGTTCAAAGCTGTTAGATGTAATTTACTTAAGTTTGTGTATTACACACAAAAAATAATTGTGTGGCAACAGTGACATTGTAGTTTCCAAGAAAGTAACTACCACAAAATTAAAAATGTTAAGACACAGCCCTGTGGTTTAGGAAATGCTAATGCTAACGCTCCTGTGGGATCGACTTAAAAAAAACTGGATTCCATGAAAGTAACTACCACAAAATAAAAATAAAATGTACGCATTATTTTGCAAATGTCTGCGACCGGTCCGATCCAGATATCGGATCGGGACCAGCCTATGTGACTGTTTTTCCGACCTGGAACGGGAACGCCGCCTGCGGGAGCGGGAATGCGAGCGGGAGCGGTGGTGCGCTCGGTCCTTTCTCGCGTCTTTCTCCCGTTCACGAGACCTCGGCCGTTCCTCTTTTTTGTGAACTTTCTCTGGAGAGGCTTCCTTGACCTCGACCACAGACTCTTCTTTCACCGCCTCCTCAGCCGTCTCCCTGCAGAAACAAACAGGAGAACGTTCACATTTTCAATTTAAAGGAGACATATTATACCCTATTTCAACAATTAAACTACTTCCCTGGTGTCTTAATGTAATGTCTGTGACAAGCTTTGGTCAAAATCCCATAAGGATGAAGCCCAATAGCAGTTCAGTCCCCCTGCCT